TGAGCCATCTCCCCAGCCCCAATCAGTTCATCCTGAAAGAGCATTACATAAATTCAGTATGTTGCCAATGTTAAAATCTCCCACCTAACTAGAAATATGAGGAAACTTTATAATCTCAGTAAGGAGCATCTACAGAACAGGTTTACAGCTGTCCTGACATCATAGACAATGGAGGGGCACGCAGTTTTCCGGACCCATGAAATAAGCCCAGATCACACTTTCACCGTTCTTGTTTAACCTTGTAGTGCAAGTCTCAACCAATGCAATATGGCAAGAAAAGGAAAAAGAGGCATAAGCATTACAAAAACTATATTCAAAGGTGATGTTTCCTATATAGAAAAATCTCATGAAATCTACGAAACGATTCTAAAACTTGCAGTAAATTTAGCAAAGTTGAAGTATATAGTATCATTATATAAAAGCGTGTGTACACTATCAGTAAATAATTGTAAAACATTTTTAAGATACCATTTACTATAAATTCAAAATTAACGCATATTTCAGTATACTAATAAATATGTAAAATTTTACTTTTTATATATCAGTTTAATAAATTTGAATTTAAAAATCCTTGGTTATAAAACTAACAAAATACGTGTGAAATCAGTCTGTTGCAAAGTATAAAACACTGATGAAAGAAAGACCCAAATAAATGCACACAAATAATAGTATCATGGATTGAAAGACTCGCTGTAGTTGTCATTTGTCCCAGGAAGCATAATCTCAGTAAAATCCAGGCAAGATTATTTATTATTTTACTGGGCATGGCCAGACTGGTTTGATCCCCATGATGAGAGAGAGAGAGAGAAAGAGAGAGAGAGAGAGAGAGAGAGAGAGAGAGAGAGAGAGAGAGAGAGACAGACAGACAGACAGACAGATACAGAAACATAGACAGGAGACAAGAGAAAGGAAAGAGGAGAGAGAAAGAGATAGAGATAGAGATAGAGATAGAGAGAGAGAGAGAGAGAGAGAGAGAGAGAGAGAACAAATTAACCTATCAAATTTTAGACAAACTAAAAATGGCAGTATCCAAAACAGTATCATTCAGGTGAGAGAACCAACACTGATCAAGGGAATACAATAAGTCTAGAAAGAGACCCACACATATACTATGGTCAGTTGATTTTTGATATATGCAAAAACAATTCATTTGAATGAATGAATGAATGACTATATAGCTGTAACAACTCCATACATTGGAATACTTTCAATAAAAGTAAGTGAAATATTGAGACTCAAAATGGATAAACTTCAACTGGTATGCTAAATGAAAGAAGCCAGTCTTGAAATGATGTATATGATACACTTTTCTAGAAAAGGTACAGCTATTACTGTGAAAACTATTTGAATAGCATGGTCGTGGTCGTATTCTCTACACGGGACATTTTACATCTTGCACTTCCATGTTTTTCTTGACCTTAACCTTCAACCTTCCCAAGTTTGTAATGAACAGTGAGACTGAAAAGCTACAAAGAGATCATCTGAATGAAAACATTTTCAGGCAGATTCTCAGACATGAACAACATACCAAAGAACCAATTATGTTTGCCTCGCCTTTCACCACCACATCCCGTTCTTGTTTGAAAAATACTACAGTTGAATAAATGTTTGTTTCTTATAGAAAGTCAAGGCCATAGAGTTCAGGGAGCCTGACCTAGGAGTTACAAAATGTAAATGACTTTGAACAAATCACTTAATGTTTGTAAGTTTGTTCTTTTATCTTAAAATAAGGATAATAATGCCAGTGCTATTTAACTTTATATGTAAAGACTTCATGAGCCATATAATAATTTTACATTGAAAATTATGTGTAGTAAAGTGCTTAGCACTTTATTGCTATTATTAATTATAGATTACTGATTATAAGAAATAGATTTGTGGTATCTTATGACAAAGCAAGTTCCACTCTAAGAATTGCTGTTATTTCTAAAAGTAATGCAGAAAAGCCAGGGCTGGTGAAGGAAACCTGTAATCCGAGCACTTAGGAGGCTGAGGCAAGAAGATTGCTGTGAGTTTGAAGCCACGTTGGGCTCTGTAGTGAGTTCAAGACCAGCCTAAACTACATAACAAAATCTTTCTTAAAAATAAATAAATGAATAAAAACTAAAACAAAATAAAAATAAAGTGATATAGAATAATTGAGAACTTTATAGCCCAATGAAGTTGTTTGCTCTCCAGTTTTAAGATGTTCCATTATTTAAACATTAAATATGATTTCCTAACAAATTTTAGGGATAGGCTAGACACTGCGTACAAAATAATATTCTGAAAATGCTATCAGGAAAAATGAAAATTAATATACTTCTAAAAATTAAATTGAATTATGTAAGAAATTCAGTTTTAGTTAAAACTGTAGTTATTTCTTTCTAGCAGTAGATGCCAGTAGAGTTCTACCTTTTAATAAAAATCACATTGCCTAAGCACTTCCATAACTACTACTTCCTGATCACATTGAAACTTTGCTCTAAGAAACAAATATCCCGCTATTTATAAGAACTTTATAATAGAAGTTTTTTTTTGAAAAAGTGAATAAATTTCAAAATACATATTCAAAATTCTCAGCTTGAAAAACTTACTTTGGTATAGTAATTCTTTTTAAAACTTATCTCTTGTTTTAAATAAGTTAATCAGTGTTCTGGTTATGAATGTGAAGTTTCTATACTTAAGCATATTGAATATACATAATATTGGCTAAATTGGTTAAAACCAAATGTGGTCAGACTGAAATGCTGGGGTTAGTGTGTATCTTTAATTTTTAAAATTTATTTCTTATATTAAAGAGAACAAAAACAATCCAAATGATACAGAATTTCAAAATAAGATGAGAGAAAATTAACAATGGTTATTATATTGTATATTGTTATCTTTAAAGTAGTTGCTATGATTAGGCATGCAACATTGATCAAACAAGAAACATTAGCTGTTCCTTTCAATGAACTATAGAAATATATATATATATATATATATTTTTTTTTTTTTTTCTCCTCCCCCCATCCCAGTTATTCTTTCCTTTTGAGCCTTTTCTTTCCCTTTCACAATATCGATTGCACCTTTTGGATGTTATTTACTCTTTTTCAGTACCTTATACCAGGGAGACAAGATGACGTTTGCACATGCTGTACCACTAGTGTGATATCTTTAGAGGGTAACATGTCAGAGAAATGAGTGATCTTTGGGGTGACTGGGAGCAGGGAAAATGGGATTGTTTTAGAAGGAAACATTTTCACTAAGTGAAAATGGAACTCAGTAAATAAAATTTAGCAACCAAATGTAGAGAAAAGAGGAAATCCAGTTTCGTTACTGCCATTACTGGTTCTCTACATGATTTGCTTACAAATATGGTCCTATGATAAGTTAAAACATTTGTATTTGAAGAGTCTAGTTAAGATGTTTAAGTTGTTAAAAGAGAATGAATGCTTCACTTAATATATTTGAGTGTCTAATAACATGCATTTTTTCAAATTAATTTATAATGTAGGGACATATAAAGTCATAAATAGCCAATTTTAACATAAAATCCTAATGTCAGTGGAAATAAGAGAACAATTTATTTTTTCTAGGAAGTATGTGGCAGACTTCATTGAGGAGTTGACATTTGTAGTGAACATTAAAGATCAGAATTATTGTTAGAAAAGTCAAAGTAATTCAGGATTTTATCCCACTTTGATCAACACTGAGTCAGTCCACATACTATGAATACTGTATGTATTAGCATGCTAGACACTTAGCAGTGTCTGTTTTGTGTAAAGCACTCTCAGCTGTTACATACAAATTCAAGAAATAATCTTAAAGATACTCTTTTCTGTTTTATTACAACAAACAATGCATACAAGTGAGTTGTATGCTACATGGCAAAATGCGCTAGTCAGTGTTTCTTTAATGCACTTGTGTGTCTCTAATTTGATTACATTATTTTTCCACTTACTTTATCATTTTTATTCTGATTATATTTATCAAACAGTTGTCAAGAAATATGGACTAAGATATATTTAGAAAGATTTTGTTGAGACTTTGCCTTTATTTAGAACTTTTAAAGAGCAAACCACACACAGTTCTCATCCTTTAATTGGTGTCAAAAGACAGACAGGCAGGATTCTTGTTAAATGGCTTCGGTAACTCTTTTCTGTGCAAATTAGTGATGGCAAATTTTGTGTATTAATTGAAAGCTATATTTTAAAGTAAGTTACTAAATCAGATGATAGGTAAGCAGTAATCTTCAGTATTAAGATTTTAAAATTAACATGCTTCAATTAGAAGAAGTTATTTTTCCCTCAACTTGTATTTCTTGGCATGGCTGTTATCTGATGTAATTATAATTTACGTTTATTTTATGATTATCGTATATAATTTCAAATCTGAATTTTTTTCCTGTTTTCAATTTTATAGTGTTTTAAAATATTCTAGTGGTTGGAAGGCACATGTCAGTAGACAAATTTGATAGGCAATACTGGTATGTTAAGTTCTGTGTTTCTCTGTATACTAGACTTAAGGCAATGATTTAGCAATATTTAGGTGTGGGTGGTTTTTTTTTGTCAAAAAGTTACTTCTTCAGATTTTTTCTTAGTTATAACATGTGTTTTCTGTCTGTTTTGTAAGAGTCGTGTCTTAGCCACTCCATATCAATTTTTGATGAAAACATAACTGCTCATAAAGATTCATAAATTACTCATATTAGCTGACTTCTTGGAAAAGGACAAGTTGTATTTTAACATGTTCTGTTTTAAGGATGATTTGACCTTCATTTGTTTGCATAGGGTTGTAATACATGTTTAACTAGTTTCCCTTTTTAAAAAAATATTCAACCTATTCTCTATAAAACTGCTTAATACTCTCATTAACCTTATATTAATATTAAAACACATAAACCCTGCTGGGAAGTTATTGTAAGTTTTTAAAACTCCCATCTCTAGTTGAGATGAAAGGAGTTTTGATAAGAAAAGCTCAGTAATGTGCTGTTTTATATTAACAGGAAACAGAACAGCAGTAGTGGTTTGAATGTGCTGCAAACAGGAAGTTTGACACATGCATAGCTCTTAGCTTCTGTGTAAGCAGTTGTTGAGCTCCTTCTGGAAATATTTTTAGTCACCTTAAGTAAAGTGTAAATGTACATGAATGGCAGCTTATAGAGAAGTACCCTGTAACCAGCATACAGGTACATCTACTGCTCTTCAGAAATTGGAAGGTTTTGCTAGCCGGCTATTTCATAGACACTCTAAAAGTACTTCCCATGATCTGAAAACAGCTCTGGAAAATGACAGCCTTCATTTCTCTGAACATACTGCCTTATGGGACAAATCAAGTAAGTTTTTTTTTCTTAAATGATATATGGTAACTAGCTAAAGTACTAATTGAAGCATTAAAGTCAAACATAGATGTGTTTTGTCTTTTATTAATTTGCACCAGATCATTTTGCAAGATGAAGGTGAAAAAATTCTACAAAAAGTTGATTATAAGTTGAGCTGAATCATGTAGGTTACTGTTTTCTTTTTCATATAACTAAGTTCTGAATTTCCATAAGAAAGTTTCCTACAGTATTCCAACATCATTTAGAGTAGATGTTACTGTTTGCTTTTTTATCTTTATATAAAATACAAAAATGAAAAACATTTTAAGACAACCTGTGTATTTTTAAAAATTCTTGTATAAGCCTTAAACTTCGAAACATCAAAGGCTTTCACATTTGCAATTTAACTTCTATTATGTTTATGATATTTTATTTTTAAATGCATGTGTGAAAATTACTTCAGTTTTTGCAAGGAAGATTTTTAAAAATAAAAGCAGAGTATAATTTTATGTAAAATTTTGCATTTATAACATGATATTGAACGCTTTCATAATTGTACATTGTTATTTTTAAATAGTTAAAATTCAAAACAGTTATCATGTTTGCATCATATTCTTAGGCATATTAACAATAGTTGGGCTTTCTGCCTTACTAAAAATGGTAATACAATAGCATTTTTGCAAGATACGCATGTTAAAAGATAAGTTGCATATGTAAACAGTACAAGCGACTCCATTCCAGTCTCACCTTGGAGCTTCCCCAAGGAATTTTTGTCACTTTGATTAAAGGAACAGTAGAATTACCCTTGGCACCCTTGCCCTTTTTGATATGTTTGTTTGATCGTTAAATAGTACTTGGTGTTTGCCTTTGTGTTTACATATTCCAAAGAAGTTAAGGAAGAAAGCTCAGCTAAAAAAAACCTAGTCTATAAAGTTTTACTCCATGGATTATATAGTACCTGGATAGTTTTGTAGAACTTTATTTAAATTATTGTTTAATACATAAGAATTTTTAAACTCTTCAGGCCATTTTAAAGAGAAAGTAAGGAAGAATATGTATGTGTGCAGAGTTTTTTGTACTCAACAGATTTCTGTTATTTATGGTTGGTCTTTATGGTAGATTGACAGGTGAAGAATGCCATATATCTTCAAGTTAATGAACTGGGAATACTGAACTAATACCACAAGCAAAAGCTTTTTATTTGTTCTATTTGCCATATTCTGTAAACCTGTAGTCTCCTAGCCCCTTTAGAAATCATTGCTGTATATTTCAAAGATATCCTAAAGTTAGACAATGAACAAGAACAAAATTGAATTATTTTCTGTTTCACCAAAGAACAAAACTTATATCCTTGTAAGAATAATAGATGTAAGAATTAAAGAGAAAGTAAGTATTAATTGTTCCTCCAATCCATGCTTTTCATAGTTTCCTATTATATATATATATATATATATATGAAAACACTGGTATGGCAAAAACAGAGGAATCCTATTATTTCAAAATTCCACATTTATTTTTGTGGTAAAGACAGTTTTATTCCTTTGTGCACTATGATGCAGGAGTTAGGACTATATGAAGTTTACATATAAGTTTACATACACATTGTTCTAAGCTATTTAAAGAAGTTTACTTGTATGACTTGTTTGACAAGAAAAAGGAATTTCGTATCTCCTGATGACAAACACTCTAGACATACTTGTTCCAAAGTGCATTTTAAGAAATATTTTAAGGATAGGAACAGTATATAATTTTTTTAAAATTAAACTCACAGTTGACTAAACATTACCAGCATAGATGGATATGAAATATAACAAGGTTTAATCAAAATTCTTTCCCTAATGGCATAGAGAGTGGGAAGATATACACAATAAAGCCACATAAAGGCCAGGGAGATGGCTCAGTAGAATAAGCGCATGCCTGGCAAGCACAAGGGCCTGAGTTCAATCCCTGGTTTAAACACACACACACACACACACACACACACACACACACACACACATAGTGCTTTCCAAATGTTTCATCTTTTTATTAATAAAGTGACAGGAATTCCTGTTGACAATAAATATGTAACAGCTAATTCCATACACATGTAACTATTTGAAGGTCAGAGGAAAAGCATAGAGGAATTCTGCTTTCTGTTCTGATCCAGAATGAATGGGAATATTGATGTTCATGGAGTTCTCTTTGTAGCCAATTTGTCTTGGTTAGCTTGTCCGTCTTTCTTTAATCATAACTGGTCAGTTGAGTTATATGACCTAAAATTAATAGAAATTCTTCTGGGTTAAGTTGTTGACTTTACATACTTAATATCCACTGCACATTTTAAGAAATAAATAGTTCAACACCATCAAACACTTTGCCTGATCCCCATTTCAATGTTCACAGGTTATTTTTCTGACAGTTTCAAATATATTTTAGTGAATATTAGATTTAACTATCACATTGAACAAATAAATTTTGAATATAAATTTCTTCAAGTGGAATTAGACAGCTGTAGTGGTTATAAAACGCTACCTTATTGTGTCAGTTGACCCTTCCAAGTACCTTCCTGAAGCTCCTGCAGTCTTCCCACCAGTGCTGTTCCCATTTGGTAGCACTGCGTCTGTATTACTGTAACTTTTAAACTAGAAAACGTTATTTTCCACATTATCATTTTTTACCTCATATTATTTGCAACTAGTTTATAAGTTTATTGATAGTAATTAATTTCTATGATTTGGCAGACTTTTTTTGAGTATTTACTATATCACAGTCTCTAAACAAGATTCTGGGAAAATAAAATCTAGTTTCTATGCTCAAAAACAAGAGTCAGAAAAGTAACTGTGTAAACAATATAATTTTCAAAACATGTTGGTTTTAATACTCAGAATTTTTGACTACAATAGGGAGCAAATGCCACTTGTTAAAGTAGAAAATAATATAGTACATCTTTACTTAAAAGTCTAAAAATCTAACAAAATATGGAATAATTTAACTTTCTTTTTTCTACTACAGAGACATGTATATACCTACCATATGTTTTCATTCTGCCCTGGGCCCTAACTTAAAACTCAATACTTTTGACACTATAATGAACATGCCAATAAACTGTCCTATAATATATTCCCTTTATAACCTTGTTTGTTCCCAATACTTCTGCCTGGAATTGCTTTTCTTCTCCAAATGGTGAAGTTTACTCATATCTTGAGTACTCTCAGACATCAACCCTGACACAATAACCAAGGCACCCTATTTCTCTATTCTTCGACTTTATTAGAATTCACAGGCCCCTTTCCTATGCTCCCATATCATCTACTTACTTTTAGGAAGATTTATTTATCCTTAAAATTATGTTGCTATTCATCCTTATGTTGTCTTCCATTTTGATGTTAAACTCTGTGATGGCATAGAACTTACTAGTTTATCTTAGAATTGCTAACACTGTTCTTCATATTCAGTTGTTTGTTAGATTAATATTTAATATGGTACAAGTTTAATATTATTGAACTTCCTTTATTATATTGTGATATTTGCAATTTATTTTATTATTATTTTTAAATGTCTTTGGTACAGGGTCTCACTGTGCAGGTTGAACTTGTAATGATCCTCCTGTTTTCAGCCTCCCCAGCACTGGGTTTATAGGTGTGCACCACCACGCCCAGTCTCAGTGGCTGGCGCATTGTTCCCAGTGGGTGGGGCCAGTGTGGCATGTGGTGCTGGGGATTGAACCTCAGTCCCTACACTTGCCTAAGCAGGCACTTAGTCCCCTGAGCTATCTTGCCAGCCCTTTGCAATTTGTTTTAAATGCCTATGAGTATTAACAAAAAGAGCACTATGCTAATCTGACCCAAGTAAATACCACATTTCACAGGCAATGAAGTTCTCAATGATACTTGTGTATTTTATATGATGATTTTAAAATAAGATTGGCATGTTCAACAGAGTTTATAGCAAAGCTAAACTTGTTGAGATACTAAATAATTTGAAATTTGGAAATGTTTTCATGAACTATATAGTGATGTCCAGTGCTTTATCAGTTATGCTTATACACTGAGAAGCTTTTAGCTGCTTCCACTTTGCAAAAATAGTCATAGAACAGGGTTGGAGGATACAGCAGATTACATACGTGTCTACGTGCTATAATACCTCAAAGTGCAGCGTAGGTCGAGCATCATTAACAGTACCTGAGAGCTCACTGAAAAGGAAGATTTTCAGGTCCTGCCTGAACCTGCTGAGTCAGTTTTGTATTTCAATAGTATTCTGAGCTTATTCCTATGGACATTAATGTTTGAGAAGCACTTATTTCTTAATATTTTAAGCTGATGTTCAGGTAGCATGTTCACACACTAAAAATTGGAAACTATAGAGAACAACAAAAAAAAATTTAACAGCTCATACAATCCTGCCAAAGTATAACCAGAATTAATGTTGTCATATTTTCTTGGTTTTGCTATTGTATTTTATAGTACTGTAATAAATATCCTTGTAGCTAAATCTTTGAGCATACTTAAGATTATTTTTATATTTTATAGTACAAGTTTAAAGAAGGTAGGATACTGATTTTTGGATTGGATTGGGGGTTCCAGATTTTTTTAATTCTTTATATATTCTAGATATGAGGGTCAGCTAACTAAAATGATTTCCCACTCCGTGGGTTGTCTTTCACTCTGTTGTGGTTTCTTTTGATGTGCAGTAGTCTTTTAATAAGATGAGATCCCAGTTATAAGCAAATGAATGCACACAGACCATATGTATAAGTGAAGTAAATCGGACTCATGTGTGTAAACATCATATTGTGCCCATAGTGTAAGGAACTGAAAGAGTAAATAAGACCAAAATGTATATAAGATTCTGTGAAATGGGAAGAAATTGTTCAAAATGGAAAAAGAAACTAGGATAAGGAAAGAGAAAAGGAAGGAAGGGACAGGAAAAGAAACAAAATATAAGATAGCTATACAACTAATTTTTTCAGTTTATTGGAATGAAAGGTTGGTGCTAATAAAATTTAGAGAATTTTTTTATGTCCATGTCTTCTA